TTCCGGTTTTCTGGTGGTTAATTGGAGGTAAGAGTCTCACAGACTTTCCTGCCTGGGCTGGCTTTGAACACAATCCTCAGATCTCAGACTCCTGAGTAGGATGGCAGGTGTGAGCCACCGGCGCCCTGCTTTGAACACTGTTATTCTATGGGACATATCTACCCTGCTACCCTGGGAACAGGACCTCTTGGTTATAAAGCTCCATTTCCTTTATGTTTTGCGTTTGTTTCTTCTCTGCTCAGTGGCCCAAGAAACTGTCAACAGCCGCAGTGATAAGTGCTAGAATATTATTTTTCTTTTCCTCGTCATCCTCTTCTTCCTCCTCCCCCCTTCTCTCCCTTCCCCCTCCCCCTCTTCATCTTCATTCTTTTTGTGTATGTGCTGGTCATGTGGCTTGAACTCAGGGCACTGTCCCAGAGCTTCTTTGGCTCAAGGCTAGCACTCACTCTACCACTTGAGTCACAGCTGGGCTTTTGTTTTTTTGGTGGTTAATTAGAGCTAATAGTCTCACAGACTTTTCTGCTTAGGGACGGATTAGAACTGTAATGGTTTCAAGCTGCAATCCTCAGATCTCAGCTTCCTGATTAGCCAGGTATATAGGTGTGAGCCACTGGTGCCCAAGTGACTATCATTAAAGTTATAAAAACAACAGATGAACAGCCTCAGAACTTAAACTTTGGTGTTTTTCGGTCTGGATTTATTTTTCAAACATTCTGTTGATTTCAGAGAAAAATGAAGCATAGTCTCCAGCTCACACTGGGAATAAAAATGGGAATAATATCATAAAATGGGAATAATATCTATCAATATTCTTCCCCCTTCTCCATGAGCTAGTGACTGTTATCTGTCACCAATTTTACTCTTATGGGGCTTCAATTTTAACTCCCTCTACTGACCATTTAACTAAGAAAAATCATATGGCAGGGCTCCTCTCTGCCCCATCTCCAATTTTAGACTAGCTCTATCTCTCCTTCTGAGAAAGCTCCTTAGAAAGGCACACCTTTGGTTCACACTTGTAATCCTAGCTATTCAGGAGGCAGAGATGATCACAGCCATTAAACTACTCTTGTCTCCAGTTAACCACCAACAAGCCAGAAGTGTAGCTGTGGTGAGCTGGAGAGCTAACCTTAAGCAAAAGCGTTTATGTCCTGAGACTGGCCGCAAAGGGTTTTCTCAGGCCTCTCCAGCACGTCACCACAGAGAAGGGTGTCTGCGCCCACCACCCCGCAGCGGCTGTGAGAGCGCTTTCCGAGGCGGGGTCTGTGAGGGTTGTGCAGCTCCCTGCAAGGTAGTGGAATATACATTTGTTTGTCCCACTTCCCCGACAACTCGTGAAGCCCTTAGAATCTCCCTGGTGACACCGTCTTTCTGAAAACGGATGATCGACTGCCCCTGCCGGCCCCTGGAAAGCCCACAGCAGGGAGAGGAGAGGAGTCCCCTGCCCACCGAGAGCCTGGCCACCCATGGCCAGGTGCACCGCCAGGCCTGTGACTCCTATGAAATGTCCAGCAAACTTCCCAGGACAGGATTTGATGCTTCCGAAGAGCTGCGCCCAGGAGGATCCTGGAAGGCGGCCAAGGAAGGGTGGGGAGCCCACTCACTCCCCATGTCCCCGAACCCTCTCCTGTCTGCGTAATGAGCCAGCACGTCTGATCTACACTGACTGGTCAGGAGCCAGGTGAAGCACACTGGGCTCTCACGAGGTCGGCCCCAGGATCTGTCAGCTCGCAGGTCTGCAGGTCCCGGCTGAGAGGGACAGCTGGAACTCAATGGAAGGAATGGCTCTCCTCTGGGCCCCTGCTTCGGAACCTGCTGCTTGCTGGGCGTGGAGAAGTTCCCCACACCCGTGACTCAGACACGGCCCATGTTGAGAACAGCAGCAGACACTGAGACTGGGTTTTTGACTCACTGGCTTTCCCCACCCCACGAGTGGACACGCAGGGGCGGTGTCCTTGGTCAGCGGGCTGGCTCCCTCTGCTGCTCCCACCTCCTCCCCTGTGAGACGCCTCGGCCCCAGCTCGTGGTGCTTGCTCAACTTGCTGAGTGCCCCATTAAATGAGAGCTACACCCACCGAGAATGTGCAATGAAGTCTAGATTGTTCTTATTGGTGGCGGGCAGTCTGCTGGGTGTGACCCTGCACTTGGTAATGATGTTTAACCAGATGATGTTTAACAAGACACAGCTTGCAAGATCAGGGCTCAGTTAGTTTTCTGGCAAGCATCTATGACTTTCATGGATATGAGGTCTTAGACCCCCATGATAACAACAAAAAACCAGGCTGCCAAGGGTAGAGTGGCAGAGAGGAGGCTGTAGAACTGTGCCGTTGTAGTTAGCCAGGAGAGATTTGGAAAGAAAGATGTAAGCAGTATTTGGAACAAACAAATGGGAAAGGTGGGTGGAGTTGGGAAGGAAAGGTCTAGATAACCAATGTTTGAACAAAGATCATGAAGGCTTTAAGCTGTCAACAAACGAATAGGAAGAGTCCCTGGAATCAGCAAGGCAATTATCAGGAAAAAACCAATTAATCCGATTCATTAATTTGATTCAATTGACTAGGAGATTCATCAAAATGATTTTATGGGTACTATTGAGTAAATTAGCTACAGAATATTGTAAACAGGTGAATGTATACAAATTATGGATTCATGTGTATGTATTTCACAAATATACAGATTTTAGTCTCCTGTATATGAGTTTTGCTATAATAGAAGATATGTGTTGAACAAAGAAATGGTTAAATATATGTGATTCTTAATCATCTGTTCAATTGTACAAGGCTACTGTACTTCATATTTTGTTCAGATGTTGGCACCTCATGTAGACAAATCTTACTACTTTATCCATTCACCCAGGGTTACTATTTTCTTACATTCTCTCATATGGTTTTGCATGCTCATGCGATTACAGGATAAAGGGGATTTTAGCTGCCTTCCCGGTTGGACTCTTCAGAAAAAGTTAGCCTTGAATGAGCACAGGCCAGCAACTGAGTGTCTCAGTCACAGTCTGGCACAGTGGAGTGAGCAGTACCCAAGGGGTCTATGTCATACTACTAGCATGCTAAAAGCAGACAGCACAACAAAACCTGATATTGAGCTCTTTATTTCTGTGTAGTTTCAATTTCATAGGAACTTAGCATCAAAGTAAAGAGTAGAATTAATGCCCATAATCCTTCATGAAGATTCACCCACTGTTAACACTCCTACTCTTTTTGCTCTATCACTCGGAATACTTTCTTATCAGTTGACCACCTCATTATTGTTTTCTTCAAATATCTGATTATGGGTTTTCTAGTCAGAAGAGATGAGAAAGTATCAGAGAGCACTTATTGTAACCAGAAGCTATAGTATCACTACGATGCAATTGTGTGAGGATTTTGAAAAGGGAAAGGAGTTTGGAATGGAAGAACTTTGCAGTACAATGAAGCAATTCCTGGAAAGCCAGAGGAGAAACAATAGCATAAGACCGTGAACAGAAGATGGCGGAGAGAAGGAAAGGAAGCCATTCAGACTAAAATTCCCTACTTCATTGTTTCCTGAAAGAAGGTCTCACTGTGAATGTTTTCTTCAGAGCCCTGGTGACACTGCTGTTCCGAAGACTGTAGATCAGAGGGTTTAACACCGGTGTGAGTATGGTGTAAAAGACAGACACCACCATGTCCTTCTCAGGGGTGTGGTAGGAGCCGGGGAGCATGTAGGTGTAGATGGCAGCACCGTAGAAGAGAAGGACCACGGTCATGTGGGAAGAGCAGGTGGCCAGGGCCTTCTTCCTGCCCTCTGCTGACTTCATCCTGTGCACGGTGAGGAGGACCAGCGCATAGGAGGTGGAGATGACCGTGACAGGGATGAGCAGCATGAGGACGCAGCACAGGTACATGAGCGTCTTGTAGAGCGAGGTGTCTGAGCAGGAGAGCTTCAGGACCGCGGGCACCTCGCAGAAGAAGTGGTGGATCTCTCTGGACTTGCAGAACGGGAAGGTCATGGTGACTGGGGTGAGCATGAAGCCGTCCACAGAGCCCAGGACCCAGCAGCCCAGTGCCAGGACCAGACAGGCCTTGCGGCTCAGGAGGACAGGGTACCGGAGCGGATGGCAGATGGCCGCATAGCGGTCATAGGACATGGCGGCCAGGAGGAAAAACTCTGCACCTCCTAGTGTCAAATACAGGAACATCTGTACCCCACATCCGGAGACAGAGATTGTGTTAAAAACAGAAAGGTGCCTTTTCAGACGAGGGCCTATGAAGCCCCGGCTCCTCCTTCCCGTGGCTCCGCGCCTCTCCCGTGTGGAGCAGGGTGGGGTGGAAGGGCAGGGATCCCGGGCAGGGGCAGGGGCTGAGGGCGGGAACAGACGTGTGCCCCTGCCTGCTCCTGGCTGCCTTTAGTCCTGGGTGCTCGGTGCCTTGAAGCACCTGTAAAGATAGCAGTGTGTGGTATTTTTCCTACACCCTGAAAATGTGGCGTGGGAGACCTGGGCGGGCACACTGGGAGACACGCAGAAGGCAAGGTCACAGGCCCCTCACAAGTACACAGAGCTACGTCCCCAATCTCAGGCAATCTGTGTGTTCTTGAAGATGGAGAGGCCTGGACCACAGTCTGTGGTGCTCTTGAGATGAAATGATCTTTGACACTACTTGCCAAACGCTCAAGGATTTTTGCTCTTTCAATGTTCATGTGGTGACGGTCGCTGTGGGAACCGGGAGTCAGGCTAATCAACTCTTTTTGAACCATGGATTTAGCATCCAAGTCCAAGGTACCAAGTGGATTCAAGGAGAGTGGTAAGAATCACACAGGCTTCCAACAATGGCTGAGAAGAGATACACAATGACGCTTTCTCATTTTTAAGGCCTATGTATGAGAACACATATTATCTTTTGGTTTATCCAGAATCTTACACTAAATGTTGGGGAAAATGCCAAAGGTCGGGGGTGAATGGCTAGAAAATGAACGTGATTGATTGTCTGAGAGGCTCTGGGTGGGAGTTTGGGAACAGACACTTGCTGAATTCAGTGTTCAGTGAAGAGCCTGTCGGTCTTGAGCATGGACGGATTGGGGGCCATTTTGAAGAGGACATCTACAATACTGTGGAGGAAATGAAAACCAATGACAAAAACAAAACTCTAAGAAAACTTGCCTCCTACTTGGCACACTGGTACAAGTTGGTGGGAGCTCACACGTGACAAGTTATCTCACCTGGACCATTGTATAGACGATCGTCGGGACGAGGGTTCAGCGGACACACGTGGAATGCTAGAAGGAACACAGCGGTCTGAAGTCCAGGAGAGGCAACCAAGCCAAGGCTCGCGGGGTCTGACCCCGCAGGGCCGAGGCCCCCAGCGCCCCGCGGGCAGTGACATCCAGGCCCGGGTGCCCGCCCGCGTCTCACCTCATTCCTTCCGGGGCTTGCTGTGGCCCCGCAGCAGCCTTCTCAGGGCCCCCTTCACCTCCTTGTTTCTGAGCGTGTAGATCAGAGGGTTGAGAAGCGGGGTGACAATGTTGTAGAAGAGGGTGAGGAACTTGCCCTGGTCCTGGGAGGCGCTGTTCCCCGGCTGCATGTACATGTAGATGATGTTTCCGTAGAAGAGCAAGACCACTGTGAGGTGGGAGCCGCACGTGTTCAGGGCCTTCTGCCTTCCCGACGAGGAGCGGATGCGCAGCACGGCCCCGGCGATGTAGCCGTAGGAGACCAGGATGAACAGCAGCGGGGACAGCACGATGCCCACGGCCAGCACGAAGACGGTGCCCTCCACGGCGGCCGTGCTGACACAGGCCATGCGGATGAGAGCCGGCATCTCGCACAGGAAGTGGTCCACCTGGCGGTGTCCGCAGCGGGGCAAGAGGAGGGTCACGGGGGACATGACCAAGGAGTTGGCCATGCCGCACCCCCAGGCCACCAACACCAAGCCCTGGCAGAGCCCGGGACCCATGATCACCGAGTAGCGCAGCGGCCTGCAGATAGCGGCAAACCTGTCATACGCCATGACGGCCAGCAGCAAGCACTCCACGCCCCCGAGCCCCAGGAACAGGAAGAGCTGGACGGCACAGCCTGCATAGCTGATGGTCTTGTCCGGTCCGCTGAGATTGTAGAGCAGCTGAGGGATGGAGCTGGTGGTGAAGCTGAGGTCCAGGAAGGAGAGGTGGGTGAGGAAGAAGTACATGGGGGTGTGTAGGTGGGGGTCCAGCCGCGACACCAGCATGATGGTGGTGTTGCCCACAAGGGTCAGGAGGTAGGCTATCAAGATGACCACAAAGAGCGTCCTCTCCAGCTGGGGGCTGTGAGAAAAGCCCAGGAGGACGAAGTGGTCTGGGGTGCTGCCGTTGGCGCCATCCATTGTCTAGTGGACCTGCAGGGAATGATACTCCTAACCGGCAGAGGAGACACTCACGGAGCGCCCGCCGTCACTCGGCTGTCCTTGGGCATTGCGCTCCGCCTCGTTCAGCCCCAGCACCCAGGAAGTTGGGCTGACACTACTGTTCTCATATACACAATCCGCAGGGAAGGAAACTGAGGCATGTGTGATAATCAAACGGTCTTATGAAGAAAGACATCAAGTTGATTTTGCACCCAGGAAACATGAATTAGATCTTTATTTGTAACCATTGCTGGTTTTGCCTCTAACACAATGAAGACAATGAGCAGCCCTGCCTCAGCTCGACCTTTGATTCTCCAAAGTGCCACCTCCCTAGCTCTTCCCGTCCAAACACTGCAAAATGACTGTTGGCGTTCAGAAAATATAGACTAGAAGGGGCCTTTAAGCATCACAGGATTGTCCACTTACAAGGAGACTGTTTTCAATAAATTTTCTGAAAAACATTTTGATAAAGCTCAGTGATACATCATGTATGTAGCCTCGAAATGCTAAAAACGATTATGAAAAAGTCGCTATGTCATTAATGCATAAAATGTATGCAGATGATAGTACATTTTATTGATTACCATAAAAATATACACAACTCTGACAAAAATTAAAAGTTAGTCAAAATGTATGTATGAAGAACACAAACAGTGTCATTAGCAGGGGAGAGAAATGCTAACAAAGGGAGCTGGGAAGGTGGCTCAGTGGTAGAGCGCTTGCCTTGCATGCATGAGGCCCTGGGTTCAATTCCGCACCACATAAGCAGAAAAGGCCAGAGGTGGTGCTTTGGCTCAAGTGGTAGAGCGCTAGCCTTGAGCTGAAGAGCTGAGGGACAGCGCCCAGGCCCAGAGTTCAGGGCCCATGACTACCAAAAGAAAAAAGAAAAAAGAAATGCTAACAAAGGTGGAGATGCTGTGCCACGCTTCACTTCATAAGATGAAGTCAAGTGTAGCCAGCATGTGTCCCTGTTCCGAGCTCCAGTGTCCAAGGCTCCAGCACTCAGCACCTCTGAACCAACCGTCCGTCCCTCTGGGAAACCACGTGTGGCCATAAGAAGTGATCTCGGAATTCACGCACATTTTGGCTGAACATTGTATTTAGGATATGTGAAATACCTATTGGTGGACTCTTTCCATTATCTATCAAGCTTCTGGGCAGAAGCAGGCCACGGGTCACTACATTAGGTCAAAGTCACAAGTTCCACGTGCGTTTTCAACTGTGAAACTGGTTGATATACTTAACGGCCATGTTGGTGAACTGTTTATGTAAAATACTCTTGATCCTAAAGACATAACTCATTCACCCAATTATTTTTTTTGAGCTGATTTTAGGTAGCCTGCATAGAAAAACAGTATGCAAGACAAGAGACTACTACACTAAGGGAACATACACAGAAAATCGCATTCTTTTTCCATGGGTGTGGCACTAAAGTAGCATACTTTCTTCATTCAGAATCTAGGGAAATATTACTGCTTAAGAAAAAGAAGTTCTAGCAAGATGTTTGAGGAGAGGCTTTTGATGCCGGATTCCATGAATGGGAACAATCCAGGTAAGAAAAGTAGACTGTGTTCAGAAGGGAGAAAGAAGAATAACACCAAGGAGCGGGGCGGGGGGGGGGGGGGGGAGGATGACTGAAAACGGTGGCAGAATAGAAAGGTGAGAGTAGACAGGACAGGGCTTACAGCTCTGCGCCCGCTCTCAGAACATGTCAGAGAGGAGGGAGGCCGAAGCCCCTCACGCGTCTTCCGCCCTTGGTCGGGGGTGGGGGTGGGGTGGTGGCTCTGCCATAGTGACCTTCTGGCACTGTGGTTTCAGGAACTGACTCCCGGCTGTGGGATCTGAGGCTGAGATACCTCGGGGGTCTGGAAACAGCCCCTCCAGATCAGTGTTAGCTCCTGGCCAGCAGGTCTGGGAGGAGGGGAAGCAGAGGCTGCGCTGAGGGACCTGAGCCCAAGCCCCCCGCGCCGCGGCTGGGCTGCTGGCTGGGCGGTCATCAGGGGTGGTTGGAGGTTGACCTGTGCTGGGAAATCCAAACCTGACAGCTATCACTCAGGGGTCCCGGGCCCCCAGAGCACCCCGTTGGGCAGCACATGTTCCTGGTGGTGGTGCTGGGAGGGCCAGGGGCCCACGTGGGGCCACAGAAGAGTCAACAGCAGCTGGGGCTGTGACGGGCACGGGGCATGGGGCACAGTGCTTGGTGCGCTAGCCTTCCTGGCTGGACTCAGCCCTGTTTCCTGAGGATCCTAAGGGAAGCAGAGCCCCAGACCGGGAGGGGTGCAGTGGTTCTAGGAACTGCCTGCCAGCCACAGGCTGCAGGGTTTGCACCTAAGTTACTCTGCAAATCAAGGATGACCATTGGCTGGGAATCCTGGGACTCCTCATGGTGTCAGCCTTGAGGGAGGTGACGGAGCGGGAGAGGGTAGCATGGGGCCCGCAGAGATGCATAGGCAACTGGGAATGAGGAGGACACAGTGTGCGGACTGGTGGCCCAGCTGCCCCTCGAGAGCGAGTCCTGTTGTCTTAGGGTGGCTGCACACACAGCACCTTGTCCGTGACCTGCCCGGAAGCTGTGGGCTGGCTGAGGGGCTCGCGATGGGACAGCTCCAAAGGCAGGACGGAGGGGCACAGCCAGCCCTGCGTCCTCCCTGCGAGTCGCGACCTGCAGCTCAGGGCCTGTGGGCACAGAGCCCGAACCCCCCTCCCCCCCCCCCGCTGCCCCAGGGTATCTAGAACACATAAAAAGCCCACACATGGAATACCAAAGGGATGGATAATCCAAGGAACGAAGAGGCAAATGAACCACACGGACATTTTTCAAAAGAAGTACAAATAATAAATACATGACATCTGTAGCCCTCTTTAGCCATGAAAAATGCAAATCAAAACGACACTGGCATTTCCTCTCAGCTTAGTCAGTGAATTGTCACAAGAACAAATGATAAGGAATAATGACAGGTATGACAAACGCTGACACTGTGGGTGGGAATGTCAGTTCAACTACTACTGGAAAGAAATACGTAGGTTCCTAAAAAAGCAGACAATAGAGCTATCTTATAATACTGCTATATATACACGAAGGAACAGAAATCAGTACAAAGAGAGATACCTGAACACCCAGGTTTAAAGCAGCACTGTTTACAATAGCCAAGATATCAACCAGCCTTCAATACAATGACTGACATCTATGTGCAGAAACGTTTATCAAATTCCAAGTCCTAAAATGCATCACATCCCAAACAAGGTAAGATTGGTTTAAAACTACTTGGGCTGGGCATGTGGCTCAGTGATAGAGTGCTTACCTAGCATGCATGAGGCCTGGATTTGATTCTTCAATACCACATACACAGAAAAAGCCAGAAGTGGCGCTGTGGCTCCAGTGGTAGAGTGCTATCCTTGAGCAAAAGAAGCTCAGGGACAGCCCCAGGACTGGAAAAACAAAAACAAAAAAACTATTTGGGCTACAGTGCCAAATTTCTCTTACCTAAGATAACACAATTACAAGATTTTTGAGAGCTCATTTACATTACATATTACATTACATTACATATAGTTATCTCCTCTAAAACTGTAGTAAACACCCCCTATGACCAGCAACCCCACTTTTGGGCATTTACCTGAATGATCACAAACAAGACCATACTAAAGCTACCAGCACAATTATGTTTATTGCAGCGTTACTTACCATAGCTAAAATATGGAACCAACCCAGATGCCCCTCAGTAGATGAATGGATCAAGAAAATGTGGTATATATACACAATGGACTTCTATGCCTCCATCAGAAAGAATGACATTGCCCCATTTGTTAGGAAATGGAAAAACTTGGAAAAAATTATATTAAGTGAAGTAAGCCAGGCCCAAAGAAACACAGGTCCCATGATTTCCCTTATTTGCAATTACTAGTATATGTCTGAGTCAAGCAGAAAAGGTCAGATAAGTTGATGTTAGGTGAAATGAGCCCCAAGATAAGGACTCAAATGGTTTTACTTTCTTGCGATTGTTTCCAACATATTTATAAGATGATTTCTTTGTTGCTTTGTATGTCCCTCCCCTACAGTATAGTCCCTGTTTTCACTGTATTTGATGTTGGTATAATTTGGGGAGGGGAAGGGAAAAAACAAATTGTTCAAATAGGGATACAAGTGGACCCATTGCAACAATGAGATATACAAGACGTTATGTTGAAAAATGAACTTTACAACTTTGGTGGGGAGGGATGTGAAGGGATAGGAAGGGGAAACAAAGGAGGAGGCAACAATGCTTGATAAGAAATGTATTCATTACCTTGCCCATGTAATTGCAATCCCTTTGTAGGGTATTTTCACAATTAAAAAAAAAACTGTAGTAAATATATGCACCATATTTATTTTACAGATGTCTTTTGAGAATATTTTTAAAATCTAAAATAAAAACGTATAAAGTACATAAAAACTTGGTAAATATAAAAGCTTCCCATGTATATGTAAGGAAAGGATGGGAAAATTAAAACAAGAGAGTAAGACAGAAATTTTAGAGAAAAAAATGTCTCTGGTTCGGAGTTGGTGGCTCATGTCCGGAGTTGGTGGCTCATCCCGGAGTTGGTGGCTCATGCCTGTAGCCTGGCTACCCAGAGGCCTTCTCCACTGGGCCGACCCAGAATCTGCAGGTCTCTGTGCCCCTTCAGAAATATTCCTACAGCTGTTCTAAGTGTTGATATAGTCAACCTAACTAGCTTTCTTCTTTCCTAGTTTACTTTGTTGTTGTCTTAGCAGTGATACAGTGGGGTTACCTTTACATAGGTCAGGTATTAAGTGCCTTCCCTTTTCTACAGTGCAGTCTGTTGACTCGCTCCCTCCCATCTCTCCCTCCCATCTCCACCCAGAAATTGTGCAGTTCACTTTCATCAAGGTCTAGTGTGCTTTGGGGCTTTGCTTTTTCACCCTTTCTCCTTGGATTCTGTGCCCTCCCTGCAGCCTCCCACAGATGTGCACGTGAATA